TGAAATCACTTCTGGGTCACTCCTCTTCCTAGGAAAAGGCACAGGGGAACAGAGGAGCAGTTTTGATTAATTCTATTTGGCTGCTCAGGAAAGGGATTCAGAATATGAACCAGGAGAGCAAAGAAATGAGTAAGAGCATCAGATATTTTGGGTAGGCAGAGGGCCAGGAGGGGATTAAATCAGCCACTGGGGAGTCTTTCAATTAGGAAAGAAAAGGAAAAATACTTCATATTTTTATTGAAGTCTTAGAGTAACTAATGTAAGTACCTTTATATCATAAGTAAGTTTAATTTTATACTTTAACAAAACATTTATGACAATTCAGAAATTGTTTTAGATGATTTCAATCAAATGTCATTTGAAGCCAGACGAGTTCAGAAGCCCAAAGCAAGGAAGTGCCAGAGCAAGTGGGCACCAGTGACTTTTCCTGCCAGCACAGGTGTGCCCTCAGCTTTTATTCACTGTCTTCATCCCAGTTCTGATCTTTATTCAAGTTACATTGCAGAGAGTGAATGGACTGACAAGGGTGGAAAGCTTTTCCTGGAAACACCAGCAATGGTTGTTCCTTGTGCTCAGGAAAATGGCAGAGAGTCACTGACCCTCCTTCCCTGTGCCACTGCCATGGTGACACTGCCAGGGTGACACCAGCCAGGGGGGCACTGCCATGGTGGCACAGCCATGGTGACACAGCCAGGGTGACACAGCCATGGTGACACTGCCAGGGTGGCACAGCCAGGGTGGCACAGCCATGGTGACACAGCCATGGTGACACTGCCAGGGTGGCACAGCCAGGGTGGCACAGCCAGGGTGACACAGCCAGGGTGGCACTGCCAGGGTGGCACAGCCAGGGTGACACAGCCAGGGTGACACAGGCAGGGATGGCACAGCCATGGTGACACAGGCAGGGATGGCACAGCCATGGTGACACATCCAGGGTGACATAGCCATGGTGACACAGGCAGGAATGGCACAGCCAGGGGGGCACAGCCATGGTGGCACAGCCAGGGTGGCACTGCCAGGGTGACACAGCCAGGGTGGCACAGCCAGGGTGGCACATCCAGGGATGGCACATCCAGGGTGGCACTGCCAGGGTGACACATCCAGGGATGGCACATCCAGGGTGGCACAGCCAGGGTAACACTGCCAGGGTGACACATCCAGGGATGGCACATCCAGGGTGGCACAGCCATGGTGACACAGCCATGGTGACACCAGCCAGGGTGACAGAGCCATGGTGGCACAGCCAGGGTGACACATCCAGGGTGACACAGCCAGGGTGGCACTGCCAGGGTGGCTCAGCCCTGGTGACACAGCCCTGGTGGCAGTGCCAGGGGGGTGCCAGTCTCTGCTGTGCTCGGGGCTGCACAGAGCTCTGCCAGGGACAGCCCTGGCACACAGCAGGGGGGAGAAATAGGGACAGAAAAAAGGTGTCCAACAGGGGAAACCCGGAGAATGTGAGTTTATTAATGATAATTGGGATGGTGGCTGAGTGTAGAATTCTCCACAGTAATTGATTGGAATTTATTAATTGGATTTGCTGATCACTGTCAGAGGGAGCTCCTGGGGTTGTTCAGGTGTTGTTCCTGCCAAAGGGGGAGAAGGGGAAAGGGTGAAGGGAAACGATAAAGTTTTGGAAGTTTCCATCAGACACACTCAGCTGCCGTTTTCTAAGGTACTGCAGTTTTCTGCTTTTAGTTGAACATTTCAATAAATATTTCCAAATAACTGCACTTCCTGCCCCTGGCAGTGCCCAGGGATGGGGCTGGGAGCACCTGGCACAGTGGAGGTGTCCCTGCCATGGCAGGGCTGGCACTGGGGGGCTCTGAGGTCCCTCCAGCCCGTCCTGGGGTCTGTGCTGGAGTGGTTTCCCCTCCATGTGCCCATGGAATGTGAGCAGCCACCTCAGGAATTCCTGGCTGCCACATCATCCCAGCCCATGTTGTGTTTCCTGGCACTTTGCTCACGGATTTTGCTACAATTTTTTTTTTTTAAAGCAAAGAACCAGCAAGCAAACAAAATCCACCCAAAGAATCCCCCCCAAAACCTAAACCCAACCTCCCCACCCCCTTCAGAGAGCCCAGCCTAACAAACCAAACCAGCTCAGGCCAAGCTGCTCTTCCCTTCCCTGTTTTGGGAGCTGAGCTCTGTAATTTGCATCTCAAACATAGTTGCAGTTCTTGTGGGTTTGGTTCATTCCTGTTCTGAACTTGAGGAAGGCTCCTCATCTTCCTTCTTGCCAGCCTCATCAGCGAGGGATCCTCATGGTTCAGGGATTAAAAACAGGTTTGTCCATTATTCTGATCCTTTATGTCTGGCAGTAATGTGGGGGTCGGGCTGTGCTGCCCGGGGACAGGGACAGGACAAGGGCAAATGGCCTCAGGCTGATACTGGGAACAATTCCTGCCTGGGAAGGACTGTCCAGCCCTGGCACAGCTGCCCAGGGCAGGGCTGGATTCCCCATCCCTGGAGGGATTTAAAGCCCTGGGGATGTGGCACTTGGGGACAGGGGTGGCCTGGGCAGTGCTGGGGGATGTTGGGCTCGATGGGCTCACAGGGCTTTTCCCACCTGAACACTTCTGTATTTCCACTCCTGTTGGAAACGTGTGGCCCTGCCCAGACAGATCATTCCCCTGTCAGGCTGGAGCAGGAAAGAAGCAGCAGGGTGAGCTTGTGTCCACACAGAGCCTTGGATGGGGCTGGTGAGCAGCTCCAGGGCTGAGCTGTTCCCCCAGGGATGAGCACAAACCTCCTTCAGAGCCTGCCAGGACACTGGAGGAGATGCTGAGGCTGCACGGTGAGTCCTGGGAGGAGGAGCTGGGCAGGGGCTGGAGCCCCAGGAGAGGCTGAGGGAGCTGGGAAAGGGGCTCAGCCTGGAGAAAAGGAGGCTCAGGGGGGACCTTGTGGCTCTGCACAACTCCCTGACAGCAGGGGACAGCCAGGGGGGGAACAGGGACAGGACAAGGGCAAATGGCCTCAGGCTGGGCCAGGGCAGGCTCAGCTTGGACAGCAGCAGCAATTTCTCCATGGAAAGGGTGCTCAGGCCTTGGCAGGGGCTGCCCAGGGAGCTTTGCAGTGCCCATCCCTGGAGGTGTCACCTGGATGTGGCACTCAGAGCTCTGGGCTGGGGACAAGGAGGGGATCAGGCACAGCTTGGGCTGGGAGGGATTTTCCTGCTGCAGGATTCTGGGATCATGGAGAGAGCAGATCCCTCATTCAGGTCTCATTTCAGAACTTGAGAGAGCTCAGTCCCTGCCTGTCCTTGCAGAGGGCACAGAGGGTGACACTGAACCCCTCAGCAATAGAGCTGTGTCTGTCTGGGTCACTCTGACCTCTTCCTCCAGGAATTCTTGGGTGCTGTGTCCAGACCCTGGGAGTGGCCTCTGGCACTGCAGCCTCTCTGTGCCAGGGTGCCCAGAGCAGCTGGGGCTGCCCCTGCATCCCTGGCAGTGCCCAGGGCCAGGCTGGACAGGATTTGGAGCAATCTGGGACAGTGGGAGGTGTCCCTGCCATGGAACTGGATGGGTTTGAGGTCCCTTCCCACCCAAACCGTGCTGGGATTTTGTGAATGAGGAATCCCTAGGGAAGGAGGTGGAATCATGGAACTGTAGAGTGGAGAATGAGATGGGACTGGAAACTCGTGTGACCAAACCCCCAACGTTTACAAGTCATAAAAAATGTCACTGAGGCTTTTTCCTGTAAAAAAAATACAATAAAGACCCAGGAGCACATTGGTTCTGGCTCTGTGGCTTTCCAAAGCAGGAAAAGCCAAGGAAATGCAGTGTATTTTCAGGTGCCCATGGGCCTCTTTTCATTTCTGAAGAGGAGCAAGGCTTTGGTGGGTTCCAAGCTGTGGGATCCAGCAGGAAAAGGGGAAATGCCCAGGGACTGCTCCTCAGGGAGTGTGGGAGTGCCAGGGCACGTTCCTGGTGCCCCATCCTTGTGCCCATTCCCTCTGCCTCTTCAGGCTCTGCAGCCTGGGCTGAGCCAGCTGCCTCCTGTAGGTCTGCATGGAGCTGTAGAATCATTTGGAATTTTTGTCTTTTTTTGGGACTTAGACACATAAAACCTATATTTAATGTTTTTTAAGCTGGTGAATTTGGTAACCAGAGAACAATGTAATTATTAATTGAACTGTAAATTAAATTTTGCACTGATGGTGAATTAACTTTTTTTTGCTGCAGTGGACTGAAATTTGGCATCTTTTAGGACTGTGTAGTGCAATAAGCCCTGAGAGCTGCTGTGCTGTCCCTGTGCCCCCTTACCTTGGCTACAAGCTCCTCCCTGCTCCTGTCACTCTTCTAAAATCTGTTGTCCTGGGAAAGGGAGGCCCCTGTCACCAAACTTTTTATTTCCAACTTAATTCATTTGAAGTTCTTCCCTTCCCTGACAAATCCCATTTGACCTCAGGTTCAAAGTTAAGTGAATTTTAACAAGTTTTGTTTAAAGGCAACATCCCCACAAATCCTGGGAGGTTTTTTCCAAGCTGGATTCTGTGATGCTGCAGGGAAGGGGGGTCACTAAGCCCTGTGAGCCAGGGAAGGGAATGGCCTGACCCCCAAATCATGGAGCATCTCCCCTTCTTTGGGCTCAGCTGCTCCTGACTCACTCTGTGGTTTGCAGACAAAACCCCTTGGAACACAGAGGAATTCTTTATTATAATATTATACAGGATTTATTACTGTGTTATACAGGATATTTCTGCTGTGTTAATGCAGCTCTGAGCTTTTCAAAGCAAAGCAGTTGAGGTGTTCAGAGTAAACGTTTCCTGTGCTGTGCCCTGCCTTGGAAGGTGTTAACAAGGCTGAGGAGTGTGTGTGAATGGGATGATGAGGAAAGCTGTCTGTCTGTGTGTCTGTCTGTGTGTCTGTGTGTCCTGGAATCCCCAGTCCCCACACAGAACCTGCCTGTTCCCACTGAGGGACAGAATCCTGCTGCTCACTGCAAGCTGCTCTTGTGGCAGGAATTGTAACACAAGCAGTGTTTGCCATTTCTGTCTCCAGAATGATTGAGGAGAGTGGGAAGAGGAGGAGGACCATGGCAGAGAAGAGGCAGCTGTTCATGGAAATGAGTAAGTAGGAAATCTGGAGACATAATGTCATTTATTCCTCACTCAGAGCTTCCCTGTGGCAGCTGCACCAGATCATCCTGTCCTGTCCCACGGGCCCCATGCAGGGAAAATCATCCAGGGTGCTCCTGGGGGCTGTCAGGGGGACAAGGATAGTCAAAACTGCCTGGGAGGGTCACTTATCCCTTATAAATGTTCATTTGTCCCATTTAGAAATGGCCTGGGAAGGTCACTGATCCCAGGGTTTGGGGGAATTCCTTAGGGAATGTTCACATCTCCCATCTATGCCAATGTCTCAGGTTTGTGGGCAACTATTTAAATGAATAATGACAGCACACACAGAGCACCTTTGGCCCTAAAAAGAGATAAAGAAAGGCCCTGCAATGCTGGTGTGACTCGAGAAATGGTTTGGGGCTGATTTGTGCAGGATTGTCCTCTGGAAAGGAAGAGTTAAGGATTTGTGTTTGCAGGACATGACATTGTCCTGCTGTCCTGCAAGGACTCGGGGCTGCAGGGAATTCCTGGGTTGGGCCAGCATGTCCTTAATTCCAGTTACACACTGAGGGATGTAAAACTGCACATTTCTACTGGTTTGTTTCCAGAGCTGCATTGTTATGGAATCAGGGGGTGCTCTGGGTGGGAAAGGGACCCCAAATCCCCCCCAGTGCCACCCCTGCCATGGCAGGGACACCTCCCAGTGTGCCAGGAATGTCCAGCCTGGCCTTGGGCACTGCCAGGGATCCAGGGGCAGCCACAGCTGCTCTGGGCACCCTGTGCCAGCCCTGCCCACCCTGCCAGGGAATTATTCCTGCCCAAGATCCCATCCAGCCCTGCCCTGGGGCACTGGGAGCCATTCCCTGTGTCCTGTCCTTGTCCCCAGTCTCTCTCCATATTTCCTTTCAGCCCCTTCAGGTCCTGGAAGGTCCCAGTTATTCACCCCAGAGCCTTCCCTTCTCCAGGTGACCAATCCCAATTCTCTCAGCCTTTGCTCCCAGCAGAGCTGTCCCATCCCTCTGGTGCCCTGGGTGCCTCCTCTGGGCTCTGTGCTGCTCTTGGGGTTTGGGCTCTGCAGGTGGGGTCCCAGCTGAGCACAGGCCCGTGCTGGGCTGGGGATGTGTGTGGGGCACACTGGAGCCTGTTCCCAGTGCTGCTCTCAGCTGTGGGGGCTGTTGCAGGGGGCCAAGCCCAGGGCTGTTTGTGTTGCAGGAGCCCAGAACTTCGATGTGATCCGGCTCTCCACGTACAGAACGGCCTGCAAGCTGCGCTTCGTGCAGAAGAGATGCAACCGTGAGTGCTGCTGTGCTGCCCTGCATGGCTGCTGCACACACTGCCCCAGCCCCTGTGCAGGGCCCAGCCCTGCCAGCTGCCCTTTGGGCTCACAGCTCACACTCCATGCACACGAGTTAAACAGGCAGCCCTGCATGCCCGGGACACCTTCACGGTTATTCTTTCAATCCCGACATGTGGAGTGCAGGGCCAGCCGTGGTGTTTGGCTGCCCCCAGAGCTGGTGTGGATGGTCTGAAGCTGTGTGAGGGAACCCCAGGGGACACAGGGACATCCCTGCCTGGAGCTGACCCTGTGGGGACATGTGTGACATCAGTGACCATGGAGAGCTCAGGGCAGGGCAGCTTCTCCCCTTCTCTGCCCTGGGCTCTGCCCTGTGACACCTCCCAGGGCCCAGGTGAGCTCCAGGGGAGCAGGATGCACTTTGTGCCCTGCCCCAGCTGAGCTGCACACAGCAAAGAGCAGAGCAGGATAATGGGGGGAGGAGATCCCTCATCCCAGGGCCAGGAACTGCTGAGGGGGCTGAGGAGGAGGAAGAGGAGGCCAGGAGAGAAGGGGTAAGGAGAAAGAGGAGGAGGAGGCTAGAAGGGTGGAGGATGAAGAGGAAGAGGCAGGAGAAGAGGTGAGGAGGAGGATCAGGCCAGGAGGAGAAAGGCAGGCTCCTCTTCCTCAGCCTGAGTGCAGAGCCTTCTGTGGGGACATCCAGCAGGGAATGTCAGCACGGCCCTGCTCTGGCTGCTGGCTCAGTTCACTTTGGGTGGCTGCTGATCCTTAGATGTCTTCTCCACGCTCCTGCAAACCTTCAGGCTTGGAAACATTTCAGAATATTGTTTAATGTGGCCGTGCACATCACTTAGTGTGGTTTGGAGGAGGATTTGTGCACGTTGTTAACACTCCTTAGATCGAGCAGGCAAGTTTAGGGCAATGCTGTGGAGCCCCAGAGCTGTGTTTATAAAACATTAACTCTGGGTTTGGGAACTGGATCAACTGGAAACAGTCAGAGTTTGACTGGAACATCCAGTTCCCCCTTCAATACTCCAGGAGTCAGCACGAGGCTGTTCAGAGTTACTGTCAACACTTTGTGGTGGGTTTAGAGAATCAGGAGATCCCAGAGAGGTTTGGGAAGGGA